CCCCCCCCAGGCCAAACCATCCCACGTGTAGAATGAAAAGAAACGTTTTATATAAGTGTTCAAAATGAAATGCCCCAGCATTGGTTCTGAAATATGCCCCATCAGATTCTAATTGCGCCCCCTTGAGGCTAAATTAGATCACCAAAAGCGACGCAAAAAAATTTTAACCGCACTGGATTGGATCCTCGTTGGCGATTTTATGACGGGATGTGTGGACAAAAAAAGCGTTTCTTGAATTATATAATTGTGATTAATTGAAAAAGGTTTTCATGCCTTTAGGAAACAATTCCAAACCATAGTGGAAGGGAATTAATACGGTCTTACAGTTTGATGTGGCTCCAAGGCCGGGTGACTGAATTTGAATAAAATTCAAGCTTCGCTAGCCCCGCCCCATTAAATCATATATGTGGTAAACACAAAAAAGTATATTCTGTAGTTTAATCGCCGTAATCCTGTGAAAAGTTGATGGCCAGTATGGATCGGCATTTTTCACAGGTGCCATTGGGGACGCACAGCCCAAACCAAACCCCCCATTTAAGCTTTTTTGCGCAGTGGGCTGGCACTATTCCATGCAAGCCTTTTAACCTTATTGTCGCCATTGAAGTTAAAGTTTCCCTCACAATATGCATTCCACTGCCCCATTTGAGGGCGATGGTGGTGGGGTTTCCAAACCACCAAGGCTTTATTTTTTTAGTAGTATAAGGCTTTGATGGTATTGATGCGCTCCTCCTTTGTAAAAAAATTTTGTTTAATGAGACAACTATCAAAAGCATTTTCACACATTAAAATACACAAAGCGCTTTGTTGTCACTCAAATCTACGATTGTTTATTGAATTTAACATTTCCCCCGGTCTTTGTGAAATAATTCTGCCCATAGCATTCTTAAAAAATGACAATGCATAATATGGCGTTTTCCCACACTTCTAACGTAAATTGATTAGCAATCATTTATTATCTGTGAGATTTTATGGATATTTTTGACTATAAAAAAAGTTAGAGACTTGTTATGGTGGATAAAAAAAGGAAGTAGAAAAATTCCTCCATACAAATTAACCTTTTGGATTATAAACCATTGAAACCAGAGATGTTATACAAAATTACCCCCACATGATATTATAAATAATGTTTATTTTATAAAATGATCATTCGGATTAAGCATATCCATATATTCAAAATTTTTGCCTTCCCACACTCAACAAGTAGAAAAGCATGTTGGGTCCCCCCTTGCTTGGATGGGTGGGGTCGATTTTGACGTGGGCCCCCCTATTTTCCGACGCCCATCCCCGCCAAAAAAATTATTGCTTGCATGGATGGGAAGCAGATAGGCCATACCTTTTTCTATTTTTTATGTTTGCATATTTATAGTCAACAGACTACTATAATTTAATTAACACCAGATGTGCTCTTCCCATCTAGCATATATTTTACTTTCACAAACATGACATTCATCATAAAAAATGGAGAATCCCAAGTATGGCTTCACCTAGTCCATCTCGGTTACATAGAATCATGTATATAAAGTGTTAAAATTGTGTTTCTGTCTAAAAATATTTTCAAAAGGATCCAATAGATATGGTTATATAAAATAACTTGAAAATACTAATAATTTTATTATATATTTTTACTCATTATTTCCTCAAATTCACGCCTACTCTAGAATAATGCAGTTATAGATTGAGTATTTAATACTTAAAAGGATAATTTAGCTGTACAAGAGACATATACATAAGAAGTCATTATATAATACGTTGAAATACACTTTATAGAATGATTAAGTTTACATTTGAACATCATGAAACTTTGCATGCGTATCTATATATAAAAATCTAATAGAATTCATTGCTTTTTTTTTTTACAATTTCACCATGGGAACGCTCTAGACTCAGTGGAACTAGTCCTTCAATTATAGCACCTCGATTCAAGACTAAGCTATTCTGACCTAGTGCAATATTCAATGTTTAAATTTTTTTTTGTTTAAAGTAATCAAGGAATAAATACTAATTCATTTAAATTCATCATATCTGGTAAGGTATACAAGGTAAAGCAGTGTACCCCACCGGCAGATGGTGGTATTTCTATAATATAAGGATGCATTCGTGTGAAGGAGGTGTGGGGGAAATACCTACAACAAAACACCTCTTACAAATATAAATTTTAATTTTTATAACGAACACTATCGTCATAATATTTTAATTTATCAAATATTATTATTGATGTCAAAGGATCTAAACATTAAAGAAAATTAAAAATCCTTAATATATTTAAAATATATTTTTATGTTATAAGACTATTTATGTGCTTTTGTTAGGTATAATACTACTGATATTCATTTCGTTTGCAGCTAATTTGAGTCATTTCTTAACAATAGAATTCTACAATGTTAGATGGAGATGTAGGATTATCAAAAGCCACACACAATATGTCATGATATCTGCAGTAGTACTACTATTTAATATATTTAACTGTGATAATTTATTTTTAGGTGAAATAAAATTGTGTTAATCATACTATGGTCTGAATTTATACTATATTGGGTGAATAGTTTTCTAATATAGTAAAAAATGTACATATTATATCGAATTTAGTCATTTCTCAAAAGCGCACGTAACACATGTTGGAGGAAAAATAAATATTTTATGTATATCTATATGACATTATATAGTGGTTAAAGTAGCATAAGATGTTATTTGATTTTAAATACTCACGTAAATATCATATTTAGCGCACATATTATAATTTTAAAACTAAAATAACGATGAAAATAGTTTATTCTTTTATTTTTTCGCCTCATAATAACAAAAATCGTACGAGAAGAACTTTATTTCGATATTGTTAATAGCTAAGCTTAACTGACTCTATTATTTTTTCTTTGTTTTTTAAAAGGTTTCATTATTAGGTCTATTAAGCAATTTTTTCCCATTCACATAAAAAACGGCCAATTTTGTGCTTTATCCACGGAAATCAAAGTGTGATTCTATATATATACATATCTAAATAATCTGGATTTATTTTGACACAATATCTAAATGATAAATATTATAAAAGTTAGAGTAGATTGGCATTTTGAATTTTGTTCCCTAACTATTGCATTTCTTCTCTTTAGAATAATGGGGAAATAGATAAGCGACACATCAGAACGCATACTAAGAGTAATAAAATGTACCTATTTGTATCATCATTTTTATACAACGCCCCC